AAACACTATTAGAACAAATCCCTCTATTCATTAAGAGAATGTAACTATATATCTGTCCTAACCACTTTGAATACACAGATACAAAATGGACATTTATCTGTATCCCCTTTCTTTGTTAAGTTCCCTTATTTGAATATTATAGGTGTGTTAACGCAGCAAAATATTTTAAAAGAGTCCAGTAGTCCATAATAGTATTGGGTCTTCTACTTCGCTGAATAAATTTTTCTTGATAAGTACTGTGTGCTAACCGATGGTGCCATGAGAGCATTCAAATTTTTCTTGATTATAAAACAAGTTTTAATTTCCTTTAATATTTTAATTTTTGAGCCACACATAAAGCTCCAAGTAATGTACTATGTTTTTACATTGAATTTTACAGGTATATGATGATGGGAAGTATGTGTATGTAGTAACAGAACTTATGAAAGGAGGCGAACTGCTGGATAAAATTCTTAGACAGAAATTTTTCTCTGAACGAGAGGCCAGTGCTGTCCTGTTTACTATAACCAAAACTGTTGAGTATCTTCATGCACAAGGGGTAAGTCTTTTAATATTAGTTAGACACACATACACATTTTCTGTTCTTAATACTTGAACTAAAAGAACAAATGTAGGTTTTTTCTACATGCTATGGAAAATACCTGTCCGCTTCCTTATCTTACAGATCTTCCTCTGCGTAACTTTTCTTACTGAACTTGAAGTGCTGCAGCTTGTTTAAATTCTTATGCTTTCCAAGAAAAAGTTGTGATCTTCTGACCTTGCAAACAGTACCATTTCTGATAGGTGACCTTAAAATTCAGGCTCACTTTAAGTAGCAACAGGACCAAGGAATCCTGGCTTATATTCACAAACAGCAAGGAAGCCTTGGCACTGGAATTGTAGCTCAGTGGTAGAGTGTTGCCTACTTTGAGTGGAGCCCTGGGTTCAGTATGAAAGATAGAAAAAAGGACATTCTTAAAGTGGATGAGGCCAAGTAGTCACTTGGCTTCAGGCTGGTGGATGCCTGCTTTATTTCTTCTCACATATAGATTCTTAAGTAACTGGCCAAAATATTGCTCCTTAAAAGAAATGTAATCTGAGAGGGCAAAAGTTTAGTAAGTGGAAAAACAAATTATATTTTTAAAGGAAAGGAGTCTGCAAAGGAAAGGGAGAGAAGAAAATGAAAAGATGAAGGAAGGAAAAAACAGAGTAGTGAAGAAACGTGAAAAGCAAGTGGGAAGGAGTGCTTTTATTTTCTCTATTTTTTAATTAACAAAAATGGTATAAGAATCAGCCAAATGGCTCAGCGGATTAAACCATCTGCAAGCAGGCAAAAGGGGGGGTGTTCTATCCCCATGATCCCCTGCAGTGCTGGCCCCGCCCCCAGGGCATGCTGAGATGGCAAATGAGACTGGGTTTGGTGGTGCACCTCCTGTAATCGCAGCTCTTGGGGAGCTGTAAGCAGTAGTGAGACCCTGAACACCCTGTAGACCCATCCCTAAAATACAAAAGAGGTATATATTTATAGTGTACAACAAATTTAGATAAATGTATATAAAAGATTACTTCTTGGGGCTGGCAAGATAGGTCAGCTGACTAATGTGCCTGCTTAGGCCAGCTTAGCCAAGCACAGGGACTGTGGTTCGATTCCAGACACCACATGCCACACCCTGGGTGGGCTGAGCCAGCCACAAAAAAATAAAAGTAAAATAAAAAGAATACTTCTTAAGTAGTTTATTGTCAGTGCAGTCTTCTCATTTTGTTTATCCTTTTTCCGGTACCTTATCAGTATTTAGTAAAATATTAAGGAGAATTAAAGTTCTGAATGTTAAGATCTAAAACTGAAATTACTGATTAGAATGTAGGCCCAGAATTTGATGATGGAAGAAACACTTAAGCCTAAGGACAAGCGTCAGGGAAGCTAATTTTAAAGAGACATTCAAGTAGTTCAATAAAGAGGAAGATAAACTGGGTATAATAGCACATACCTGTAAGCCCAGACATGTACTCTGGGAGGCTGTGGTAGGAAAATCTCAAGTTTGAGCCCAGCCTTGGCAATTTAGCAAATTAACAAGACCCTGTCTGAAAACTTAAAAAGGGCTTTGTATGTAGCATAGAGAAAAGGCTCTGGATTTGATCCCCATTAGCAGGGAAAAAAAAAGACTGTAAGTTACTTTTCTGCAGATATGACTTCTTCACTTGTACATCAAATAAGTAATACCTAAAGTTTAGGTATAAGTTTTAGGCTCTTTTTCCTTTCTTTTCTGTCTTTTAAAATTTGTCGTCGTCCCCCCCACCCCCCGCGCTTTTTATGGCTTGTTTAGTGTTCTTCAGGTCTTGACTGAAATGTCTGGTCTAGAGATACTCCCTTACCATGCTGTTTAAAGTGACCTTTCCAGCTCTGCTCCATCTCTCAGTCTTTCTATTTTCTGCCTTCCCTACTTCTGTTCAAGCTGTTAGCGTGGAAAGACGGGATGTTACAGGTTTGTTCACCACAGCTCTATACAGAATACCCTGGCACATGATAGGCACTCAATAAATATTGTGAAATGATTGAACAACCTGCAGATAGATACTGTCTATACCCACTACTCCGCTGGATAAAGGAGGAGGAGATAACTGCTACTCTTTCTTCCTCCTCCTCGCCCCAGGTCTGTGTCAAAGTTATGCTTAGATTATTAGCACTTGTCTTGTCCTTGCCTGACAATCTGTGAATAAAGTTCAAATGTAATGTTAATATAGCTCTAATTTGCATTTCAATTAGGTGGTTCACAGAGACTTGAAACCTAGCAACATTCTTTATGTGGATGAATCTGGGAACCCAGAATCTATTCGAATTTGTGATTTTGGCTTTGCAAAACAGCTAAGAGCAGAAAATGGTCTTCTCATGACTCCCTGTTATACTGCAAATTTTGTTGCACCAGAGGTAATGTGAGAGAATTTGTTTGCAATGTTTTGTTATATTTAAGAACTTGTTTGCTGTGTTTAATACTGAACAGTTGGTAATTGTTTAATAGAAGACTTACTGAATAAATAACTAGGATAAAATGCTAGCCCCTTTATTTCCCTGTTTAATGTTTGAATGATGTCTGATTGCTTACAGGAGAAAAATTTAAAGTTCTTAATAAGATATTACAAAGATTTTCCATCTATTATCTCCTACCAGAAGTTGTGGCCACTCTGAAATTCTTGCCTATCATTAAGGTTACTCTACCCTTTGAATATCATCTGCACTCCCCCCACTTCCTCCTTTTGCCTACTGGATTCTTCTCGGTCCAATACAAAATGACGGCCATCTAGCCCTTCCTCTCTCCCAGTGTCAAGAATAGATTGGACTGGGCTGGGGAGATAGTTCAGTAGAATAAGTGCTTGCTTAGCAAGCACAAGGTCCTGAGTTCAATCCCTGGTACTGAAAAAAAAAAGAATAGATTGGACTAGCGGTGTGGCTTAATATTTATCATGTTGAATTTCTCCTATGAGATTCTAACTTTTTAGAAAATTGGTGTATTCATCATAGCTCATGCCTGATACTACTTGTTAATTGTTAAATACTTGAGCAAATCAATATATAGGTAGTATTTTGCACTATGTCATTTGTACTGGGTTGTGTTCTTAAAATTGTTTCTTAAAACCATTTCTATAATTCCATACAAAATATAAATTTATTAACATAAATGTTATCTTCAATTTGTTCTATATTCCTCTATGTACCTACAGTAACAATAAGTGTTCAAATACCAAACATATGCATATGTATATACAGATACATGATTAATAGTAGGATATTCCAAGATGAAAGCAATATATTGCATTGTTAATCATATTCTGTTGAAGTTTTTCTTGTATGCATTGATTTGAAAAATATACTTAAGTTCACAGCCTATCCAAATATATATAAAAACAGTAGTATATAGTAACACTCATCTTTTACTTTCTGAAGGTTTTAAAAAGACAGGGCTATGATGCTGCTTGTGATATATGGAGTCTTGGTGTCCTCCTCTATACAATGCTTACTGGGTGAGTATGTATCATATATTATGAGCACTTATGTGTAAATAACATTCTATGTTTTCTTATGCTAATATATGCATATATTATGGGATATAAAAATATTAGGATTATAGGATTATATATTAGGATTATAGGATTTTATATACTGTAGGATCTGTACTATAGTCATATATATATATATAATTCTATAATGCCACATTTATAGCTGTATTATTAAAGTCTTAAGGTCTTAAACTTATTTTTTACTTATTATTATGTATTTGGTATGGGGATCTCACTATGCAACTCTTGTAGTGATCCTCCTGTTTCAGCTTCCCCAGTACTAGGATTACAGGTGTGTGCTGCAATACCCAGACTTGGTTGCCAGCTCAGGGCACCCAGTGCTAGCAGGGCTGGTGTGGCATGTGGTGCCAGGGATCAAACCCCAGGCTCTGCAGTTGCCTGGGCAGGCACTTAGTCTGCTGAGCTATCTCACTGGCCATTAAATTTATTTTTCCATCTGTTTTGTACTCATGTCATACACATGCATTGTTTTTAGTATTTTATTCTATGGTAGGTTATAATTAAAATATTGACCATATATATTAAATCTAATATTTTATAGGCCATTCTTTGGCATATGACATTTTATTTCATAGATTTTTTTCACTTTAATAAAGTATTGCAGGGGCTGGTGAGATGGCTCAGTGGTCTAAAGCACCTACTTAGAGCAAGCTTAGCAAAGCACAGGGACCGCGGTTCAATCCCCCAGCACCACATGCCAGCCAGCCCCGCCCCCTGTGGGCTAAGCTGCCCCCCCCACACTCATAAATAAATAAAAAAAATTTTTTAAAAAGATAAAGTATTGCATTAACTGAATTACTTAGAGAACTTCTAGAAACTGCCACTAAATATGTACATGTAAAGATTACCAACCAAAAAAGAAATTTCATTAACGTTTTAATTTTATTATAATTTAGTTACACTCCATTTGCAAATGGTCCTGATGATACACCAGAGGAAATACTGGCACGAATAGGTAGCGGAAAATTCTCACTTAGTGGTGGTTACTGGAATTCTGTTTCAGATACAGCAAAGGTAAGTATACATTCCTGCTATAAACTCTTTGTTTTGTTTTGGGAAATGAAACTCAAGGCCACTAGCACAATAATAAGCATGTACTCTACCACTAAGTTAGTCTTAATCCCTGTTACAAGCTTTTAAGAAAATAATTTGTCATAAACTATGGTAAGCAGAAATACAATCAGCTAAAAAATTTTGCTTATTAAGTAGTATGTTGAAGTGACATTATCAGGTAGACTCCAAAATGGGCCATTTATTTTTCTTCCCTAGAAGACATTAGTTTGCCTTTATATCTATACATCTAAAAGTGTTTAGTGTAAATTTATCTGTGTCTAATATACCAGATACATGTGGGCACTCTTAAGTATCTAATTCCAGAGCCCTTAGTACCTAGAATAATGATATCATATCCTAGTTTTGATTCGTATTATGAAGAAAATCTCCAAGCAGTAGCGTATTTTTGTGACCTTTGCTTAAAATTACTTTGAAAAGCCTTCCCTAAATCTGTCATCCAGTAGCTCTACCTTACTTTTCTTCTCTGCTCTATTTCACTTTATTCACACAAAATTCTTGAAAAGAATAGTTTTCCACTTGAAAATAAGAAAAACATAGATGAAGAAACATTGGTAAAAGTACTTACTGATTTTTCTTTAGGGATGAAAGATGGAGTTCAGGTGATTGTATAAGTAAATGGAGCACATCAAATTTTTAATAAATTATTTTTAAACTGTACTTAAAATGAAATGTTAGAGCTAGGAATGTTGGCACACACCTGTAGTCCTAGCACTCTGGGAAGCTGAGGCAGAAGGATTGTAAGCTTAAACCCAGTATGGGCAATGTAGCAAGACCCTGTCTCAACAAACAGAAACAGGCTACAGATGTAGTTCAGTGTGAAGGCCCTGTGTTTAATAAATAACAAATGTGAGGGAGGGGTATGTCTTAGTTACTTTTCTCATTGCTACAACAAAATACCTGATACCCAAAGTTAAGAGAGGAAAGATTATTTAGCACACAGTTTGTAGAGATTTCAATTCATAATCATCTGGTTCCAAGGCAAAGTATTGTGGCAGGCAGGCATCACAAAGGAGAAACAGTTCATGGTGGGCAGAAGATAGGGAAGCAACCAGGGATGACCACAGCTCTTTCTACTCCTTCTATCTTATCCAGACTACTTATACCTAGGGCAGGTAGCACTCACACCCTTAATTCTAGTGCCCTTGATCCTAACATTGCACCATGAATCCATCCCAGTGTCACACAGTCCAGATCCTACCACCTCTGAAGAAACCTCACCTACAACTGTGTTGAGGCTTTGGCAGACATTAAGAACAAGTCATAACAGGGTGGGTACTATAAAATAAAAAGTAAAATGAAATGCAAGGATGGAGTATTGCTCAATGGCAGAACATGTGCTTAGCATATGTGAGGTCCTAGTTTCAATCCCCAGCCCCCCAAAATTAAAAATAAATCTTATCCTTTATCTTTTTCTAACAGTAAAATATCTTTAAGTACTTTACTTTTTCTGGGTACTCTTGTCCTTTGTAATTCCTTTACTGAACACCTACAATGTGCTTGATAAATGAAAGCCTCAGAGATAAAAAGATGTGACAACAATAGAATTCCTCATCTCAGGAAGCTCATAGTCTAGCTGAGTTAGCCAAAAATAAATGTACTGTAACACTTGTATAGTTTCTGTGCTGAAGTTCACAGATGATGCAGTGAGGATTAACTTTCCAGAAGCAGTGAAGGAGTTTGCCAAGCAGATTTGGGGTGCAAAAGCTGGTGATCCATCCCAAGATGAGTTAGGTAATGATAGTAGCACAGGAGTAGCATGGTACCTCCAAGCTGGTCATTTGATGTGACTACTGCAGGGTGTACAAGATAGCTAACTGACGAACCCACACTGTGAAAAGTTTCATGGCTCATGCTCGGGATTATGGGCTTACTCTAGGTGTTAAAGTCGAAAAATTACAACACAGTACAATGATCAAATTTTCCTTTTTTTGCAGTCTGGAGCAAAAATGCTCATTTATGGAGTCTGCCACAAATTGTCATGATCAATTGTGAGATGTACCAAGTAATGTAAATAATGTAAAAATCATAATAAAATATCAGAACTTGCACATTGCTTGTTCTTCTAGTAAATTAAATCCAGTTGAGATTATGTCTATAGTTTTCCCTCATTCACTTTCATTCCAATATACTTTTTTGGTGAGAACAAAAATGTAGGTGAAAATGAAGATAAAAATAGAGCACAAAAAAAAAACAGAGCACAAGCAATAGCATCCACCTCATCACTAGTAATTTCTGCTACAGTTAAAACTTGTAAAATTATGATTACCCACAAAAGAGGCTCAATTTGAGTGTGTCCCTTCAGGAGCAAGTTGCATATGTGAAAAGTGTAAGTCCGTTGGGCCATGTATGGTATATGTGACTTTGAGAGTAAGACCATAGCTGCCCTTTACTAAGAACTTATGTGCCGCAGATTTTGTTATACTTTTATATACACTGTTTTGTTTATTCCTCACTGACATAGTATTACGGACATGTAAGATTTTATATATTTCAAGTCATCAATGAGTACCCAAACAAGTAGTGGTAGTAGAATTTGAAGCAAATACAAAAGAAATGGATAAGGAATAATAGAATTGCTAGTTTGTTGATTTAACATAAATGAGAAAGAGAGTTTTGTTCTGCCCTAGATTTTTCCCTTTCTCTCTTTTTGTTGTTTAACTTTTTTTGAAATGGGTGTCAATATCTTACCCAAGCTGACTCACCCCCAAAACTCCTGGGCTCAAGTGATCCTCCTGAGTAGGCAAGTCTATAGGTATATGTTGCTTTGTCTAGCTGAATTTATATATTTACTCATATTCAACAATTTATGCCTGTTATTTGCTATTAATGATAACTAACAGTAAGAAACTATAAATGTCTTTGTAGCACAGAAGTGCTTGAAGCAACATCTAATTAGTACCAATTTCTGTCAGCTCTTTGTCCTATTCAGTTCCATCCATTTTTCACTATTCCTTATACAGTAGTCCCTTGCTGTCTCATGGTTCGGCTTTTGTGGACTCACTGTTTCTAGAGAATGGTTTGTGTCTAGTTGTTCCCCCAAAGCCTCGTGCAGTCCTGGAACGCTATTCTAGAGTTTGTAATTAATTTTTGATCCAATGCTGGGATTATGGGTGGAGTGCTACACCCACCCGTGTGGATAATCTGAATCACAGTGTAAGGAAGAGAGAGAGGCTAGCTAGCAGCATCAGTTGCTGCCCCTCCCTTTTGCTTTTTGCTTTCTCCACTGCCATAAACTGTTGCTCTCTGCCATGTGCTACTCTGCCTTAAAGCCAGCTGAGTATGGACTGAAACCTCCACTAACTGTGAGCTAAATAAATCTTTCCTTCCTTAATTGTGCGTGTTGTGTATTTTGTCCCAACAATGAGAGCAGAATAACTGAGACAGCGTGTTTTCAAGAAAATATTAATCTAAATTATTTAACATGGATTTTTCGCTATATCTTGGGATTTTGCAATACTGTACAATACACATATGTTGTTAAAATGACATAGGTTTACAAGTTTAGAAAATGGTTAAGAACACTGGAAGTATTTTTAAAAGTGTGGGAGTAGGGGCCGAGGGGATGGCTCAGTGGAATAAGTGCTTCCCTGGCAAGCACAAGGACCTGAGTTCAATCCCCAGTTCTGCCAAAAAAAAAAAAAGGTGTGGGAGAGGTTTATAAGAGTGTGGGAAAGATTTATAAAGCCTTAAAACATACATAAATTCTAAAACATGTATAACGTTGCTACTTCTCTGATTTTTCACTTATCGCAGGAGTGTCTGGAATGTAAGTGAAGTCCACAGTAAGTGAAGGGCCACTGTACTCTAATTTGAAGCTGTCATCTTTCAATGGTCTTTGTCTCAAAAACAGAAATAAATCTCCAGGCTGCCTCTATCCCCGCATTCATTTTCTTTCACAACTTAGTGTGATCTTTCTAAACTTACAAACTTGACAGCATCATGTTCTTGCTTTAAATGCTTTATTGCCTCCAAAATAAATCCACATTTGTTAATATGGCTTACAAAGGCCTGGCCGATCTGGTCCCTGTTTACCTCTCATACTTTATTGGCTGCCACATTCTCCGTGACAATAAATGTATACATACTGCAGCCATATTCCACTCGAGTCAGTTCCTCACACCCAAGGGCTTTCCTCCAAGTGCACTGCATTTTATGTACCTGAAACACCATTTTCCCTTCCTTTCTCTAATGAAACTTCTGCTTATCCTTCAGGTCTCACTTTCCTCTTAGGAAGTCACTGCTAAGCCAGACCACCTAGTTGAGGTCATGGATTTCCTTATGTTCCTCTACCTGTACCTTATACTTATCCAGCCTATCAGAACTTATTTACTTTGCAATTGATTCTTTTCCATTCCCTCACTGAACTGAAAGCCTCAATAGACCAGCGTTCTCTGCCTTTTTGTTTTTGTTTTTTGTTTTGTTTTGTTAGGACAAGTTCTGACTGTGTAGTCCAGACTGGCTTCAAACTTACAGCATACACTGGGCTAGCCTTCAACACATGAACCTCCTAATTCACTTCTCTAGCTTTTGTAAATGACAATTATGTTGTCATTTTGCAAGATGTAAAACGAGATAGTGATGACATGGATCTATATTCCCTGTATAGGTAGGTGTTTGATAGACAGGCACTGTTTGTTTGGTTTTTTTAATGTATTTAGTACAGGGTCTAGAGGGTCTCACTACACAGATCACACTTGTAGTGATCCTTCCTGTTTTTCAGCCTCCCAAGTGCTGGGATTACAGGCATGCACCACCATGCCCAGTCTCAATCACTGTTTCAGCATGCCCCAAGGGTGAAGCCAGCACAGCACACCCGGGATTGAACCCCAGTCTCTGCATCTGCCTAAGCAGGTGCTGTAATCCACTGAGCTATCTGTCTGGCTGGCCAGATAGATAGGCACTGTTACCAATGGTTGTCTCTGGAAGAATAATAGTATGGATGTTCTTTATGTTCTTTCACTTCTCTGTATCTTCCAGTTTATTTGTAATACTAATGAGTTGCCTTTCAAGGAGAAAAAAGTTCAGGAACTCTATAATCTTCTGGGTGGGCATTTAGAGCCCTCCAATTAAATTCTTATTCTTGGATGTTCATGTTCTACTTTTCAGTATTAGCAGCACACATAAAGTTTTTATTAAGTAGTTAATATTATTTAAAAACGAACCTCTACAAATGTAGGAATAGAAAATCTGACTTTATTTTATTTTTTGCGGAACTGGGGATTGAACTCGGGTCCTTGCGCTTGCCAGGCAAGCACTTATTCTACTGAGCCATCTCCCCAGCCCCAGAATAGAAAATCTGATGGAAAAAAAAGTAATTACAGATATATAAAATGTGGTAAACTGCTCCTTTGTGATATGCCAAAATTACTGTTAACTCATTTAGAGAGACAATAGAGACTTGAGTATTTTTTTTCCAAATTGTCATGTTGACCAAAGGGCTGCTATCAGGGAGAAATCAGGACATAGAAGTTATGGAAGAATGCTTACCTGCACCAAGTGCCATAGACGTAGAATCCATAGAGGATTAATCTTGCTTTATTTTCTCATGACAGGACCTGGTGTCAAAGATGCTTCATGTAGACCCTCATCAGAGACTGACTGCTGCTCTTGTGCTCAGACATCCTTGGATCGTCCACTGGGACCAACTGCCACAATACCAACTAAACAGGCAGGATGCACCGCATTTAGTAAAGGTGAGCACCCCAGCCAGTTATAGTTTCCCATATGGCACCCTCTGTGATCTGACACCTTTTCCTTTCAGCCTCCATCTAGTTCTAGTATGGAGTTCTCTTATGTTAGCGACCTAAAAAGAAAAATATCAGTAATCCGCCATGCATGGTGGCACATATCTGTGATCCCCATACTCAGAAGGCTAAGACAGGAGGATAGGAGGATCACTGTGATTTTTAGGCTAGCCTGAGCAACATTGTGAGTTCAAAGCCAGCCTGAACTGTGAAGTGAAACCCTGTCTCAACCCACCCTCCAAATATATATAAATTAAGGGTGACTTTTGAATTTTGTCAGTCTACATAAGTAGGTTTATTCAGCATCAATCATGATAGATAAACTTATGGATTTTCTAAAGTGAAAGAGCATACTGTACAGCCTCTCATACTAAAGTACTACAAAGACAAAAATGGAATAACCCTGAGAAAAGTGAAGACTGCAGTTTTTAAGTCTATCCCTGACCTCTCACATTGATTAAATCAGAGGATTTGATCAATATTAGTTTCATTATGAAACTAATAAAATCTAGGCACATTTGCATGTGAAAAAAATTCTGCCAGTAAATCCTTTGCCTCGTGTCTCTGTACACATTATTTCTGTTGTTGTATTTCCTCTCTTCAGGGTGCCATGGCAGCTACATACTCCGCTTTAAACCGTAATCAGTCACCGGTTTTGGAACCAGTAGGCCGCTCTACTCTTGCTCAGCGGAGAGGTATAAAAAAAATCACCTCAACAGCCCTGTGAAGTGACCTCAGTGAGAAATTTGGTACCATGGTATAAGCTGATAGCACAAGTTCTGGCGACAGGTAGCACATATCTGAGAGAGACCTGCAAGCACACACTGTCCCAGCTGGTACCCATAATGCTGCTGCTCCTGCTGCTGCTCCTGCTTTCGTCTCTTCTCGCTTTAAATGATTGTTAGCAAGTTAGATTTTCCTGGAGCTTGGGATGAAATATGATGAAGATACATTCACTGAATCAGCAAGAAAAATAATGAACATATGGATACCACCTAAAATACACTGAATAAAGTACTCTACACCATATAGCATTATTTTTATAGAAAATATTTCATGTCCCTTAAATATTCTTTGTTAGCTATAGGGATGGACAGTTTATGTTAAGCACTTAGCTTAAACAATCCGTTTATATTAGCACTGTATCCCTTGTGCCATCCAACATTTTGTATGTTTTTGTAAACAGTTCATATACAGTACATTTCTGTACTGCTTTCTTTAATGTATACATGCCTTGTTTAACTTGGAATCTATTATTAATCAACTATTAAATCTGGTTAAATGGTTCACCTGGATTTACAGTATTGTTGGACAGCCCGAAAAATGGCCAGATTGTGGAACAGCTGTTGAATGTAACACTTGCAAAATGTACATATTTCCCCATGTCTGTTTCACTGAGTTGTTGTTTCGTTTGTTTCTTAAAGTCAGGTGCTGTGTCAGACTAACCTAGAGAGCTCTTTTGGTAGAGAAAGTTATGTGTATGTGGCATGAAATCAAGAATACAGTACATCTATGAAGTTTATGTACTTTGAAATTCCATAGGGTCCTTTTGTCCTTAATTAAGGAAATAGTCCTTGCACTTTTAATCTTAAATAATATCCATACTTGGTATTTGGCATATCATTTGAAATTTTGCCAGCACACATCAAAGACCTTTAAAGTCATGGTAAAGAATTTAGTGAAGGAAAATTTAACAACCAGTAACTTAAGTCCTATTGGATATTTTCTGTTTAAGTAGTCTATATGAAACACTAATTTGAATGTAATAACAGCCACAGGCCTCTATATGAAATTGGATTTAAATTTTCTTATTCTAGGAAAATAAAACATTCTTGATCAAACAGTATCTGTTCTAACCTCAAGTCATAGCTAAAGTAGGTCAAGTGAACCTTCAGCATTATTTCCTAAATTCTTCCTGATGATAATCTTTAACTTCAGAAAGGATCAATTTTCATAATGACCTTTGGGTCTGCTTAGATTACAGTATTCGTTATCTACATCCAACTTGCTGTTTTCCACAATTTTATCTAAGGAAAGGAATTTCTGTACTCACCATTACCTGGTCTTTGCCAAGCTACCTAGCACATATCAATGTTATGTAAAAAACAGAGGAGCAAGGAAAAATGATTCAACTTACCTCATCAGGAATGTGCCCAAACAGATCTTTCTAAATCATGTACTAAGCCATTTAGAAGAAATATTCTCCTGGTAGGAGCTTTAACTCTTTCTCTGAAAACACCAAGTCAAGAAGAGAGTGGTTTATCTGAATGTTTTTAAAGCCACTTGTCATTCCTTAAATTCTCTTCTATGCAGTTAAATAGAGGAAATCAATAACATTCCTTTTGTCCAAATTACATAAAGTGATTATTGCATAGAAATGAAAAAAAGTTCATATAATAAAAGGAAAAATGTATAAGAGGAGAAGTATCAAAAAGTCTGCTTAAATTTTTTGAAGTTTTTGAGTATATGGATAACAATTAAGCTATTTTCCATTACCTAGAAAGAAAATTGTTTTTTCCTCTATTCAGGGTTTCAAACCATGGTCATCCCAAATTCTTATAATTTTTCAAATTTTGATGTAACTAAGCAAAGTGTAGATATATTTTCAGATTTTTGACACTGATACTGCTCACAATCACTTAGGTGTACTGTTCGTCATAGTCTTTTAGACTCACAAGTAAGCATATAAATCCTTAAAAATCACCTGGTCAGGTTTTCTCATGTTGCATGTAAGGAATCTGAGTCTCAGATCAAAGACTAAAATCCTCAGCTTGTCCCCATTTATACTAGTTTCTTTTTCCTCATTACACTCTGTTCGTACCTTTCCTTTATATTGTCACCTGACCAGTAGCTAAGTTAAAAAAAAAAAACAAACTATGTTTCTTAGGACAGTCTTCTACTGGTATATGATGCCAATTTCTTTCAAGGATATTTGCCTTCTTTATCTAATGAGGTTGCCAATTTTGTTGTAGAGAAAGCAAAGTATATGTTCACAAAATAGAAGGCTTTCTGCCTAAAAAGCAGCTAATGAACATAAATTTATCTCATCTGTGATTCTAGTGTTCCTACTGCCTTTGGGCAGCAATGTGCTGTAAATGTAGTACTTTTACTGGGTTTCCAGCCTCTATAGTTGAGGTATCAAGGCCCCTAAAATATTCAGCCCTTCACCAGTCGCTGCCAGTTTCTGGGGCTTTCTCAGGAATTGTCAGTCTTAATCCTAAAGATACTGTGAAAGGAGGAGCTAAACTAACAGGACTCTTACAAACTTCTTAGTTTATAACACAAAATAATATCAAAAATGATAGATTGCATTTGACATTGCCAAATACATACTGGAACGTATATACTACTGTGTTTTGTATCTTTCCCCTTTGAATGATAATAAATTAAGGTAAGTTTTTTGTCCCTTTTTTGCTTTTTATGAATCATTTCATCCTTCTGCTTCATAGAGATATCTTCTAAGTACATCAGATATTTCATTTTAACAGATTTGAAGTGAATATATTTATTCACAAGCAATCCCCAAAATCCAAAAATATAATTTGGCAAGGCCCGAAATAGAGATACTATGAAGCTAGTGTGGAAGAAGTCACTTGTGAGTGTCTGGAGAAGTGGTTGTGGTGTGCATGCCATAGAGTTTCCACATTTCCCATGCAGGACACTCCTAAGAGGTGTTTGGGTCCAACCATTTTCCATCTGTTTTTAAGAAGTGACTGCTATTGGGGTCAGGGAATATCAAAGGAAGTGGGGCTATCCACTTGGGTGTGCCCTGTATCATTAGCCTCAAAATATTTGAACAGAGGGTGGGTGAGTGTAAAGGCTTCAAGAGAAGGTTAGTATAAAGAGGAAGAAGGTTGGGATAGGCCCAGACTAGGATGAGAGTTAGCAGAAAGTATTCAAGATTTGGGGGCCTTGGTATTGTGTTGATTCACCATGGAAGCCAGCAATACACATTCCAACATGGTTTCGGTAATCTGTACTCCCTAGACTTTATAAAGCATCTACAATTTTTAAACTTACAATATACTACATTCTATCTTATGGTGGTATTGAACATTTGAGACTTAGGAAAGTACAGGGTAAGGAAAGACTTATTTTCTGTGATTTGCAAATAGGTGGATTCCATGCCCGATCTTGGTGCTTAAACCAGGAGGTTCCAGTCTCATCCTAGAGATTTGCCCCTCTGAAAGGCCCCACTCCTGCGATAAACCGGACGTATACTTTGAGCCTTATTTAACTCACAGATATATTGACTTAAATCAGTATTTTTTTATTTCAACTAATGAAAATAGTCCTCTTTTCAACCCCAGGTTGCTTACATTTTGTTGGTCTCCCCAAGTGACTATTGGTGGAGACCAATCAATGAAGGAATGAATTTACTTTCTTGAGACTGTGGTATTCTACAGAGCCACATTAAACCACTTTTTCCAGTGAAGAATCTGCAGAATAATACTCATATATGGATGGCCAAGAAGAATTTGTATCTACAGTGTGCTTTATGTATTTTTAACACTGCTGTATTCTGTGTGGTTAAGTAACTTGTAACTGGTTCCAGTGTGACTGAGTATTCTCAAACAATTCTAGTAACTAAGTCAACTTAATTTTCTTAAGCCTGGTATTACTATTAGTGTCAGATTTACCACTTTGATTCCAGTCTTCTAACTGTTCATAACAGGGCATACCAAGGGTTGAGATAAGAGCCTACTTCCTACCTCTTAAGGCACTTTCCTCATTATTTTGCCATGTAACCTTGAACTGCATGATAAGCTGTTTAAATGTCCATGACTTCTCCCAGAGCAACTAGCAAAGTATATGACATTTTGAATAGAGATTAATGGAAAGGAAAATTTAGAGATTTAAGTTCAGAGGTACAAACCTCAAGAAAATGTCTTTAGAGCACATACCATTTGAGTACAGTAAGTGTAAACCTATATGAGAAGAGAGTCACTGTAACAGTTGTAAGTAGATTAGTTCAATATCTAATGGAAGTGAGCATCCTATTCCTATTATCACTATAGTACTGAATGAACTGTATACTGAGTTTTTCAAACAAGTATTTAGAACTGTTAAATACAAAGCAAGGACATAAGGATAAAGATTTTGGTTTGTGTTTCTGTAAGTGTAGTTTACCATCTAAAGCTTTGTGTTTTTTTTAATTTTAATAAAAGCTTCAAAGTATTGCCATTCATTAGCATCCTTAGTGATTGTGGGTGATGAGTTTGTAACACTTAAAATTATATACATGTATTAGTTTATCTTAACTCTTGCCCTAAATAAAAGGGAAGATACACACCTAAGGGATGTAATTATTTTCCATTTTTGGCCATGGGTGGGAATGGGGTGGGGATCTACTTAAGCAGTTTTTAAAAAAGAAAAAAATCACAAATATTTTTCTACTATTATATATGATCTTACTTTATAACTAGTTTCTCTCTAGTAAAGGCATGCCAGAAGCCCAAGGTACCATGTCACAAGTTCTTACATATTGTACCTTTTATTGGTGGTTAAATTGCATCAGTTGCTTGGCACTGCTGCCATAATTATGAAATGCTTGTAAAGTATCAAATATCACTGAATACTTTAAATTGTTTTACTTAAGAGTCTAATCTGGGAAGTTTGCAAATCATACTATTAATATGTAATCTAAGCTCTTTCAGATGTATCCAAGAATAATCCTGGAACAATATTGCTTGTATTCCTGTCATAGAACAGGTTTTGTAATCTTTAAAAGAAATGAAAATTTATATAATAAAGTTTCAAACAAATGCATGTATGTCCCTTTTATCAGATTATTTTGATTATATTATGTTTAAACTCATAAAAGAGCAAATTATTCTATCCAAAGTATATTTGTGAAATTGTGTTGTTAGAATTTAAAACAGGAATACTTTTTTTATTTAATTTTGAGAAAGAAATAGCAATGAGACAGTTTCAAAACAGGTTAGTAGGGGCTGGTGAGATGGCTCAGTGGTCTAAAGCGCCTACTTAGAACAAGCTTAGCAAAGCACAGGGACTGCGGTTCAATCCCCCAGCACCACATGCCAGCCAGCCCCGCCCCCTGGTGGGCTGAGCTGGCCGCACACACACACACACAAATAAATAAAATTTAAAAAAAAACAGGTCAGTAGGACAGTTACAATAATTAATACATTGCATATTGTTGTCTTCGTAGTAATTCATAGTATAAGATGCAGACATGATATGTAAACACTTAGTACAAATTTTCTCATTGAACTAAGAGAAAGTAGCTGTGTATCCTATTTTTTTATATACAGATATATATTTTT